TTACTTAAATTTTGGATCATTACATTTGGGGTAGTTCCAGTAAATTTCCAAACATATAGTTCAATGAAGCCCTATTATTTGTTAGAGGATGAAGTTGAGATTTACCCTAAGGAAAGCAAGAAATGTGCTACCATTGGTTTCAGTGACTTGCTTGTGTTCTCTATGAAGGAATGAGTTGCATTAGCAAAGTTTCTATGGCTTTTGATAGGCACTATTATTTTGATCATACTGTTTTAGGACAAGGTCTTTTAAATTATAACATCTTTTCTCCTTGGACTATGCCAGCTTACATGCTTGTCGAGTTTGATTATGATTAGTAATTTGGGCTAGTTTTATTTGTTTGTCTATGTATAACGTTTGAGAAGATTGACTTTGGACTATGTTTGAATTTATAAAATTCTGACCGTAATTGTAACTATTTTGGTTGATTTAGAGTTTGATAAATAAATTTTTAGTCAATACTCCAAAAATGAAAAAGATTATTTTAGAAATGAGCATTGATATTTGATATGCTTTGGAGCACAAACATTTCATTTTAGAAGCTTAATTCTATCAATTTCTTTAAAAATAATAAATAATAATTACTAAGTTATTTATATTTTTATATTAAAACTATCCCAATCAGGCATATTAAGTCATTTGGGAAATTAAAAAAAAGATTTGGAGACAAGTGTGTGATCGAATTAATCATGATTTCAAGATTAATTAAAATAATAAATAATAAAATATAATAATTATTTTATATTATATTTGATTTGTATCTAACAAATTGATAAAATTATAAGGAGAATTAATCATTCTCTTAACATAAATAAGATGATTCAGTTTTTCAAAAATAGAAAGGATTAGTTTTAATGCATAAAATTAAACTTATATATTTTATTAAACCCTTAAAAAATACATCGATAATTTAAATTGTATAAATTTAAATAATGATAGTTTCAACCAATAAATAAAATTATTCAACCATAATTTTTATACACATAAAACACAAGATAAGATAATATTATTTAATCTAATCATATTCATAATATCATCTTATCATATTCAATTATAATTTTGTACACCAAATACTTCTTAAGTGATATATTTTTTTAGATGGTTTTAACTTTTTAGGTAATGATTTTTGGGATTAATTGTGTAAGGTTAACTCATTAATTGACATACCCATTGATTGACACATGTAATAATTTTTTTTATTTTTTTCTTTGGTACTTTTTATTTTCATGTTCAATTAATTTTATTTTGGGTTTTTAGTTTTATTTCATTAGTTTTATTTATTTTTATTTTTTATTTACTTATTTTCTTTTTTTATTTACATATATATATATATATATAGATAAATTCTTAGATGAGGATCATGTTTTAATCATTCGACAACTTAAAAATTAAAAATATGGGTTAGAAAAATAAATTTGTAAATTTTTTATAATTATATTTATTTATTTCTATAATATAAATTTTATAAAATTTTAAAAATAAATGAAAATAGTTCCTATGATGAAATTAAAAATAATCATAAACGGTGATCTTCTTTATGTTTTTAGGTGAGGAATTTTCTTCAAGTTTTACTAAAAGTGATGAAAAAATTAAGAAATATTCCAATAAAAAGTTACTTTTAATAAAATATTTAAAAGAAAATAATAGATGATAAAATCAAAATAAATAAATAATTTTTTTATAAAATATTAAACTAATTTAATGGCAAAACTTCATCAAAGGAACAAATGAGTTTTTTTAATATCCTTGAGATAAGAAAATTTCTTAATAATTCTATTAAAATATAAAAAAAATCTAAATTTTTTTAATTTTTTAAATATTAAAATTTAATTAAAAATAAAAAATTATTGAGGTAGAATCTTTCTAAAATAATATAAAATTAATTGATATTGTGTTTGGACGAACGTTCTAAGAATATTAATACGATTTTTACAAGTAGATTATAGTAACATTCAATAAAAATTATCCTTAAGTGGGACAACTCTGAATTGAAAGGCAGTACTCACAACTGAATTGTCAAATTATTTTTCATTTGTCAAATAATTATTGGTTAATTAGTTTTCATTTGATAATTATTGTAAGTTATTTTGGTTTTGGACTATGTTTGAATTTACAAAATTATGATTGTAAGTGTAGCTATTTTGGTTGATTTGGAGTTTGATAAATAAATTTGTAGTCAATGCTCTAAATGTGGAGAGGATTATTTTAAAAATGAGTATTTGTATTTGATAAGCTTTGGAGCACAAACTTTTCATTTTAGAAGCTTAATTCTATCAATTTCTTATAAAATAATAAATAACACTTACTAATTTATTTATACTTTTATATTAAAGCTATCCCAATCAAGCATATTAAGTCAATTTGGGAAATTGAAAAAAATTTGAAGACAAGTGTGTGATCGAATTAATCATGATTTCAAGGTTAATTAAAATGATAGATAAAATAAGATGATAATTATTTTATATAGTGTTTGGCTTGTATCTAAAGAAATTGATAAAATTACAAAGAGGATTAATTATTATTTTAGTATAAGATGTTTAAATTCTCTAAAAATGGAGAGGGTTAATTTTAATTCATGAGATTAAACTTATATATTTTATTATATCTTTAAAAAATACATCAATAATTTAAATTATATAAATTTTAAAGAATGATAATTTTGATCAATAAATAAAATTATCTGATCCTAATCTTTATACACATAAAAATAATATAAAATAATATTATTTAATCTAATTATATTCATATTATCTTATTTAATCATAATCTTGTATGTCAAATACATGAGTGATATTTTTTTTTTGGTTGGTTTTAACTTTTTAGGTAATGATTGTTGGGATTAATTATGTAAGGTTAACTCATTAATTGCCATACCCATTGATTAACACATGCAATCAATTTTTTTATTTTTTTTCTTTGGTACTTTTTATTTTCATGTTCAAATAATTTTATTTGATTTTGGGTTTTTAGTTTTATTTATTTTTATTTTTATTTTTATTTACTTATTTGCTTATTTATTTGTTTTTTATTTATATACATATTTAAATTCTTAGATGAGGATCATGCTTTAATCATTTGACAACATAAAAAATTAAAATTATGGGTTAAAAAAATAAATTTGTAAATTTTTTATTATTATATTTATTTATTTGTATAATGTAAATTTTATAAAATTTTAAAAATAAATGAAAATAGTTCCAATAATGAAATTAAAAATAATTGTAAATAGTGATTTTTTTATGTTTTTAGGTGAGGAATTTTCTTAAAGTTTTACTAAAAGTGATAAAAAAAATTAAGAAATATTCCAATAAAAAGTTACTTTTGATAAAATATTTAAAAGAAAATAATGGGTGATAAAATCAAAATAAATAAATAAATAAATTTTTTTCATAAAATATTAAATTAATTTGATGATAGAACTTCATCAAAAGAACAAATGAGTTTTTTGAATATCCTTAACATAAGAAAATTTCTTAAGAATTCTATTAAAATATTGAAGAAAATCTAAATTTTTTTTAATCTTTTAAATATTAAAATTTAATTAGAAACAAAAATTCATTTAGCTAGGATCTTTCTAAAATAATATAAAATTAATTGATATTGTATTTGGATGAACGTTATAAAGATATTGATATTATTTTCACAAGCAAATTATAATAACATACAATAAAAGTTATCTTCAAGTGCGACAACTCTTAATTGAAAGGCACTCACAATTGAATTGTCAAATTATTTTTTATTTGTCAAATAATTATTGGTTGATGAAAAGTGAAATAAGTTGTTGGGTTTTGCAAGTCATGGCATGTTGGACTTTAATTGGATTGTGATACGGTGAGTTGGGCTTTTTATCATTTACATGATGTGGTATGCACTTGGGTGAGTGTTTTTTATGGATTTTGAATTTTATTATTTATTATAATAAAATAAAAATTTAAAATCTTAAAATAATAATAATAATAAGACATAAAAGACAAAAATAATAATTAACTTTTTTTAAAAATTTTTTCTTTTTTTTAAAATATATTTAGCAAAAAGTTTATACTTTATAATAAATTAAAAATTCATACATTTGATTGAATCATTAATAAAATATATAATGTTCGTAACATAGTATGAAAAATTAACAAAGAAAATGTAATAGCAATATATGAAATATTATATATAATTTTTAATTTTAATATTTTATAATATTTTGTTTATTTTATTTTTTATTATTTTTATATTAAAATCATTATAAATATATTCAAAATAATACAAAATTGATAAAAGATAATTTACCCCAGGATAGCAAGGAGTGATTCTAGTAATAATAATATTTAGGTTTCAAACAGGATGTTGAAAAACTTTACACTTGGATATAAATATAATCATATGTTAATAAGTATCAATAATTTAAATATGGAATCTAAGGTATGTATTTAAATATAAATGTTTTATATAAAAGTAAAATTATATATTTTTATTTATATATAAATATTAATTTTTATTTCTTATTTATTCAAAAATATATATTTTTTGCTCTTATATCTAAAGATACTTTTGCATGGTAAAATATAAATAATAAAACAATAATCAAGCGAATCTCAATTTAATTTATAAATTTAAAGATGATTATATCATAAATATAATTATATAATATAATATTCATTGTAATTTTTTTTATTAAATATTCATTTTTAATATTTAAAACTACTGAATTTCAAGCAAAATTTTTCAATAATACAATGTAAAAAGTATTTATATTATGTATTTATATAATACAAATTAATATATAAATCTAATCTCACTAAAATTATTTTCTTGCTACGATCCTTACAGCGCAAAACCAATCAAAGTCTCTGGCAAAGTAAATCTATAATACCAATATTTATATGGATCATTTTGAATATTTGATAAAAACCATAAACAAGTCGAAATGCCAAACGGCAAAGAGGAATTGGCTTGGAAAGGATGAGGCAGGAACGGCCCACATCTCATGTCCCCATTTGGCCATTGTACAACACAAAGAAAAATGAATTTTGCAGCTTTGGGCCTCTCCTCCTGACTCCAGATAGACACTGACTGGTTTTTGTAAATAATTTAAAAAAATGGCATGTGCTTTTGCTTGTGGAAGCTCAGGTTTATGCTTAGTGAGAAGCACCAACACACCTAAACAGTCGTCGCTGCGTTATCCTTTGGCGGCTAAGATAAGAGCAGAAAGCATGGCTACTGAGAAACTCGGAATCAAAGTGGAAAACAACCCTCCAGAATCCAAGCTTTCTCAGCTTGGCGTACGCCAGTGGGCCAAGTATGTAAAAACCTTTACTATAATTTTTTTCCTACTACTATTTTGTAAGTGATGGGTTTTTATTTTTATCCAAGTTCTTTGGAATTGATGAGACTATATGTAGAAATAGGAATTAGAATCACAATCAAATAATTCTCAACATTTATAATCTAACAAACCAGCACATGGCTGATGAGTAGATCTGGCAATTCTGCTAATTTCAATATTTCTGTTTGTATATTTCATTTGTAAAATATAAAAATTACCGTATAATAAATCCTGTTTGTATACCAAACACAAAATACATTTTTAGTTTTTTCAAACTCATTTAAGAATTTTACTAAAATTTTAAACTGATTCGATTTCATGTCCTTTTTTTATTGTGTTATCATATTTAAAATTATCAGATTTAATGATGAGAGCTGAACTGAGATGGAAAGTTATTACAACTTTCTTAATTGACAATATCGATTTTAATTGTGTTTGGATTTTTACAGGTGGGGTTGCCCTCCTAGTAAATTCCCATGGACATACAGTTCAAAGGAGACCTGTTATCTGCTGGAGGGAAAAGTCAAGGTATACCCTGATGGTAGCAAGGAGTTTGTGGAGATTGGTGCTGGTGACTTGGTTGAGTTTCCTAAAGGAATGAATTGCACTTGGGAAGTTTCTGTGGCTGTTGACAAACACTATAAATTTGATTGAGTGTTTCAATCTAAGGTCTTTTACCATCTTTTTATGAAATAAATATAAATGCCTGGACGATGTGGGTCTTTGTAGTTCAGTACTTTGAGCTAAGTTTGTTCAGCTGACTAAATATGCTACTATTCTATGTCTTTGTCTATGTGCTCTCTGTAGGTCTGTCTATATACAAAATTTAAGAAGTTTGGTTTTGGACTGTGTCTGAATTTGCACAAGTTCTGCGAAATTGCAGCTGTTTTGCTTGTTCTGAATTAGATAAATTAATTGTTGGCAATGCACCAAAAGGGAATACATGCAGTCATTTGTATGTTCTCTGCTACTTCATTTCAGTATCGGAGTGAAATTCAATTAAAATCTTAAACATAATGCCATTACTCTAGGACACCTTGGCTTATGTACTAATTTTATGAAAAAAAAAAAAATAGAGAAGTCTGCCATTGTCGTCAGTTGAGCTAATTCATGTGTTTAACTTCTTGAATAGTTATTTCTATTTGTAGATTAGGTTTTGCCACTGTGAGATAGGAAATTATCTAAAATGTTTTGCCTTTCTATTAGTTTTCTGATTTCTTTTTTAGTTCTTGGGGGCCAAGCGATGATTTCATGTCAAAAGGAATGTGAAGCTATGTCAATAAGCTACAAATAATGTTCTACCTATGGCCTTTCTTTTCTCTATGAGAAAGGGATTTCATATCAGCTTGCCCATTTAGGAGCATGACAGATGCATATTGAATCACTATGACACTGAATTATCAGTTTTTTATTTTTTTATTGTCTAATTAGTTAGCTTTCAAAGGAAAATAGCTGGACATGATTGTTTATATCTTGGAAAATCTAAAACCATTTAATGGTTGTTATCCTTAATTGTTGTAATTGGGGAAAAAGGGGGGGATTGGTAGTTCTTTGTGTTTTTATAACAAAAGCGATCGTTGTTTGGAGATTAAAAAAGAAAGGGATTGCAAGTGTTAGAATTTGAATATCAAACTTATTTGATGTCACCTCTTGTTATTATGAGAGTATGATGATAAAGCTGTAGAATTGGACTAAATTTGAAGTTAAGCCCTCATCTCTGCTAAGGGTTGGCATGGAGTGTGTAAGGATGTAACAATTACAAACTAGGTATGATTTTTATTTATTGATGTTCGATTATTAAATTTAATAAATAATTATAAATAATATTTAATGATTTATTAATTAAACGAACATATTATAAATATAAGAAAATTTATTTATATTTGATTTATTTACATCCATACCAGAAGGATGCGGATGATTTGTCCTATAAGTAAGAAAGTAAGATGACAGGTCTTGACATTTCATATTATTGTATTAGCTTTCCAAGGCACTGCGCCTCAACCATTTTAATTGGATCAATACCAACATGACAAAAAATTCGATTATATTTGATTTATTTACACCCTTATCAAAAAGGATGCGGATAATTTGTCCTATAAGAAAGAAAATAAGATTATGACAGGTCTTGGTTAAGTTGGACGTTTCATATTATGGGATTAGCTTCCCACCGCATTGCGCCTTAACCCTTTTAATTGGATCAAACTGTGAAAACCCACAAGAGAGATTTATTCTTGGAAAAAGAGTGACCAGTTCTCATAATGTTATGTTAATCTTTATCTTAAATGGTTTATTAGAAGAGTGTGTTTGATTCAAGGAAATTTATAAATTATTTTTTCGAAATTTTGATGGTGGGTATTTATTTTTACGTTTGGTTTAATATAATCCGATTACAAAAAAAAAAGTCAGATTCTCAACAATACTCAAAGTTTCGGAATAAAAAATTTACATCTCCTTATGATATTTTAAAATTTTGAGAGGAAAGTTGTCTTATTTCAAATTTAACCTAAATAAAAAATTTATCATATATCCATTATTTTTTTGAAAAGTAAATCTGGAATTCAGTTTTAACTCTTTTTTAAATTGTCTTATTTTTAATTCAATTTTAATATGTGACGATTAAGATATTTCTTCCTTGAAACGCCTTAATTAATAATCAATTAAGACGTTTCTTTTGAACAAATGTCTTATTTGATATAATTTTTTAAAATTTTTTACAAAAGCATCGAATAAGGTGTTTTTTTCTTGAAATGTCTTTCTCCATTGAAACGCCTTAATTGATATTAATTAAGGTGTTTTTTTTTTACAAATGCTTTATTTGACTTTTTTTTTTTTGTAGAATTTTTACAAAAATATCAAATAAGATATTTCTTTGAACAAACGCCTTATTTGACCCATTCAAATAAGGCATTTTCTTTTTTATAAACGTCTAATTTGGTAGACGATCTTCTAGAATATTTACAAATTCAAATAAGGTTATTTGATTTTTTTTCAACATATTTATAAAAACGAATAAGACATTTAGCTCTTCCAAACGCTATAATCGATTTTTTTTATATATTTTAAAACAGCAATGTTGGCTTAATGTCTAGTTAAATGCTGTAATTTGGTATATTTAATTCAAAAAAATTAAAACCTTTCTTTTCTTTTACTGTTAAAGGCATTATTTGTTGTTTAGGTTTTATTAACAAAAATGAAAGGTTGCCTACAACTTGTCAATGAGATTATGACAGTTATACATAAATTAATAAACTATGATTTCCTCCAACCAAACGAGTGAATCTGATTATGGGATGCCCTGAAAATCAAATAAAATCTTAGGTATCAAACTTTCTTGTGTATCACATTTTTCCTTGGAATCCAAGATTTCATGAACGAAATGCCTCTCAAGAGAAAAATGGAACAGAAAAGGAAAATTAAAGTGCATCCTATTGAAGCATAGATATTTGGTGACAACATTGACAGGGCATTTGATTCGAAGGAATCTGAGATTTTTTCTCAAAATCTTATTTATGGAAATATGATTCTCATGTTTAGTTCATAGGTATCTAATTTTTAGAGTAATCCTAAATTCTTAAAAGTACCAAAAAATCCTGAAATCAAAAACCTAACTCTTCTTATGATTTTTTAAGATTCTGAAGGAAATTTATTTTTGTCATATATTTGTCTTGAATAAAAAATTATTTCATTTTGTTTTATCTTTTTGAAAATCAATAACCATAAAAGACTCCTTAGATTCATACAAAGTCACAAATTTGCCTTGACACCAATTAAGCTCATCAATTAAATCTTGTGGCATTTGTACGCAACCATTTAATCCCAATCCAATAATATAATAAAAACCATAATATCCAGCCACCTCAACATCAACAATACTCTATATATACGGATATAACTCTACTAGTAAACTATCTAAATATCGTATTTTCTATTTACCATAGGGACCCTGAATAGGAAGTTTAATGACTCATGTCATCATTTTCACTAAGTTCGTAATGGTTGATGGTGATGTACTATTCTAAGCAAACAACATAATCTCTTAGTGTGACAGGTCTTGACATGTACATATATATCTACTTTTATAGCTTTGCGACCTTTTGTCTTAACCATCTTTAGTAGTGGATTCAAGACAATTGTTAATGGATTACCAAGTTTTAGCAACTTTCTTTTCATGACTAATTTACTAAACTTATCACATTCATTAAAGTGTTTTATGATTCGATCACCTTCAAACACAATGGTTAACTTTTCAAAGACATCATTAACTTAACTCTTTATTAAATCCAAACTTATTCCAATGATAGTGCACTTCAAATAAAGAAATTAGACTTCCCACTTTTACATGCTTTATAATTTCATGACCACAAAGTAATTCATACATGTCTCTTATCACACAACCATAAGCATGCTTGTCAATCCCAACATGATTTGCTCACTTGGCTACCATCAATATCATATTAAGTGCCCTTTTAGATACCAAATCTCGTAACTTTTTTAACAATTAAGGTTTGTAATTATACTCAACTACCATAAAGATTTATCTCAAATGAAACATTTATCTTTGTACATTGAAGCTTAATAAGGGCGTTGATTATCCTTCATGATGATTCAAATTCCCTTTAAGATAATCTAAGGTGCATCTTCAATTTTGTATGTGCACTCTCAGCCCCAAAAGAATTAATAAAGATATATTATAATGAATGTTTTGTTATGAAACCTTAAACTAAAAATAATCTTAAAAATACAACATAAATCATACCTATTTATTGTAACATTGCCAAAGTTTATTACTTTATTCGTCTAAGCAATAATAAATTTATCCTTATACTTTATCAACCATTACTCTTTCACATATTTTATTACACTCGAATAAGTTTGGTAATCAATTTGTAGTAAATTTAGATACCTTTCGTACTCATTATCAATAGAAAAAAACATAAGAACACTTTAACCGAACATGAATGCCTCTCACTTCTCCTTTTGCTTAAAAACTTTTTACATTTGCAAGCATATTCTTGAGATATGCAATTTGCATTGAAGATTTATCGTGTTGGAAAACATAGCCTCTATTCCATTAAACAATGTCAAATCTCTATCAATAACAATGACAGTACAAAATATACCAAGAGGCATCAAATTTTTTAATGTATCCAATGTCTAATTATAGTTGTCATAACACTCGACGACTATATACACAAATGTAACAGAAAATACCATTCCATTGGAAGTTACACCAATAATCTTAACCAATGGGAAATGATATTTGTTCATTTTGTAAGTGCAATCCATAATCAGGACTACACCTGGCAATTAATCTTTCTGTGTCTTGTTTCATACTGTGTTTGACACGTGTAATGATATAAATTATTAAAATATAAACATAACATGAATTATAAAACGTGTTTAAATTTTAAATACGAATATGACACATTTATTATACGTGTTACATGTGACATGATGCGGCTAATATGTATATAATTAATCTATTTAAACTTGATACAAATAAACACGAAAAACACTAATATACATGAGTAATACTAATATACACAAATCACACTGACAAACATGGTCTGCTATTCTAGCTATCCTTGTTTTTCATCCACATTTATGATTTTTAAAAGAAAAAAATTAATTGAATCAACTCAATTCACTCAAATTCAACATTGATTGAGATTAAGTGTTGAAGAACAAGTAATTAGAAAATAGGAATAAGTTAAAATTACCTTTTTAAAAAAAATTGTTAGTTTATTGTAAATTGTTGTTGGAAAAAAATCTTTGATGACTAATATATGACTAGAAGGCTAAGAGGCTATGGGCTATGTAGGTGTCAAAATCAATAGAGGAAAAAAGAGGCAAAGGTTGGAGAGCTTAATAAAAAAAGACCAAGAAGGGAGGATTTTATTGATTTACTGATTTTTGAGTTTGGGTCTTTGTGAGAGAGACGAGAAGAAAAAGAGTGCAGGAAAAAAAGAAAAATGAAAAAAAATATAGAGGTTGGACTCTGAAGGAATTGAGGCTAGACTGTGTGGGCATCAGGCACTAGATTAAAGGTTGAGGTAGGAGGATTTACGAGGGGATGTGGGGTGAGTGGCAGAAGGATTTATAGAGGAAGAGTGAATGGGTTTAATAAATTGGTAAACATTAATTTGAGGGATGGTAGAATGGTATGTTTGAAGGATATGGGTTGAATAGTTGAAAGGAAATAAGAATTTTATGAACTTTATAATATGATAATTATTTTTAATATATAAATATTATTATATATTTTTAATAATTACTTAATTAGCATGGTTTATTTGTAAAAGGTCCTAATGACTTATTAAAATTATTGAAAAATATTAAATTAATATATATTTATACATTACAATATAATTAAAATATATTATATATTCTAATTATCATGGGTATACTCATATACATATGATTTAAAACAAATTATATAATCTCTTATAATTATATATAGATACCTTATGATGTAATTTATATTTTAAAAGAAAATATATAAAATAAGTCAT